TAACAAAAAGCAGCTTTAGCTGACTTGAAATGAAATAAAAAAAAATAATTCCTTTTGTTGCCTGTGTAATCCATATGCTACTGAAAAGACAGAGTATTTAGGGATTCTTGATAGTCTTTTACTATAGATATTGCATGGCTTTTAGTTCCCACTAATTTCATATTTTGGCTGACAGAATGATAAATTTCCCTTTGATTTTAGTTTAAGAAGGTACTTTCCCATATACATGTAATAAGAATTGGTCATTCATTTGACCAGTCATTTGGATTCATAACTCCCTGAAAGAAAAATACCCAGTTACCATTGTTTCTCCTGTCTTTCCATTATACCTTGTTTCACTAAGCATATTTTGTAGCTGGAAGTGAAATTTTTTTGGAGGTGTTAAATATCAATGTTAGAAATGACCAGGCACATTAAGAATCAAAGTTGCATTGTGATCAAGAATGGGAAGAGTGAGGGAAGTGTTATCCAGTGATGAAGATCAAGGTTGTCTAACAAGTGCTTAGATTTTTATTGAGTTAAAGAGGCAAGTGTATTTTTTCCAATTAAAAGAAAGCCAAAGGACTAGACGATTATAGATTATACTTTATTAACCTTAAGTGGGACTGTTGGACTAATCCCTTAGAAGCCTCATAAACTGAAGAAGCTTCTGAGACTTTGTGTGTATTAGTAGTATAGGAAATGCTATTGTTTGTGCAGTTGAATGGCTGGCATTATAAAACCATTTGTAAATGATTTGAAAATTAGTGATTTCCTGTACTGATTGATAAATATCCAGATTTTGCCTTATCTTATATATGACATTATTATCCCTAGTGTTGTTAATTTACCAAGAATACCAAAAATTGTGGATGTTGTACTTGTACTTAGATAATGTGCTTATCGTAAAGATAAAGATTGAACAAAATACATGATTGTTTTCATATAATTGTATGTTGTTAAATCTCTAAAGTCTTGAGTAATTATCATAAACTAGAGATCAGATGGAATACAAACCATCAGAAGACAAGGAAGAATATATTTTTTTAAATATAGATATATAGTCAAAAGGATTATTATTCATAAGCTGATACACATGACTCATTCCTGGACTCCTATAACTGTGCTTCCTTTCCCAACACAGGTATGGCTGTGGTAGAGGCAGTAGAGGGCCTGGCAGGGAAGTTCCGGGGGAGCATGGCAGGAGCTCTGATGGGGGACTGCTTGGGGGCACCCTTTGAGGGAGAGTCAAGGGCCTCTCGCTCTGTCCTCAACTCATACTTCAGGAGGCTGGCAGATCCTGCACTCAAGGGTACGTATGTTGGATGCAGCTTCAAAACTAGTTGTTTATGTGGCTTTAAACATTTTGACTTTTGCTGTTATAATTACTTTTTTTATTTTATTTGACCATGCTGTTCTCATTATTGTTAAAATTATCATTGTTAATGGTATTGTTATATTTTAATATTATTGGTATGGGTTATTATGATATATTAGGTATGCGTCCTAGCCTTTATGTCAGCTTGCTATTATTTATTATTATTATACTGTACTATGTCCTTGTAATTATCAGCTCCTGTATTGATGCATATATTTTCCTTTCTGTGATTTTAAACTTTGATTAAAATTGGACAGTTGTAACTATGTTGTTAGTATTTATTCGTATAATTGTGGAAGTATGTGTTTTGCTGTGTTTTCTAAACTTGGTTGATATTGAAAAAAATAAATCATTGTTATTACTTTTTCTATATATATATAATTTTTTTATCAACTGAATTATGTCTTGCAGTTCCCTACAAGCTGTACACTGATGACACAGCCATGACAAGGTGTGTTGCACAGTCCCTGATAGATGAAAAAGGCTATTGTGCAACAGATATGGCTAAAAAGTGAGTTTCTTTGATTAGTTTTGTATATGGAAAATTTATGCCATCCATTTTTTATTTTATTTTATTATTTATTTTCTTCTTTTTAATCAGGGCATCATTTTAATAACTAAGGGCCTCTTCGGCAATGCCAACCCAATTGTTAATGTTAATGCCAAAAAACCTTAACAGTTCGGCAAGCTGTTAGGGTTTTACCACCAGTTCTGTCTGAGTGTGATATATATTCAGTTGTCAGAGAGCTTTTGTCTTTTTTTAAAAATTGTTATTTGCCCTCTAGACAGTTGTCCAGATTATTTCTTACAACCAACAGTGTAACCATTATCCAATCAGCATCTAGGATGAGCAGTGATGTCATCACCTCCCCAGCCTGGCTGTGAGCTTTGTTCTTCATCATTGAGAGTTGGATTGTCATTGCCGATGAGTTCTTAAGATAATCATAGTCACACCAGAATCTTTATCACTGCTGTTTTCTCCTCGCAGGTTTGTGAAGGAGTACTACAACGAGCCCAAGAGAGGCTACGGGTCCAATGTGACTGATGTCTTCGCTGCTCTCCGCGCCACAAAGTTCCAGGATGTGTATGCACCAGCGGGGATTCAGTTTGGTGGCCGAGGCTCCTACGGGAACGGGGGTGAGGAACTCGGGGACGGAGGAGCGTGGAGATGGGCGATGAGATTTTATATTGTCTTTCATCTTTCTGAGGACAGTCGTCTTCATCATCATCATTATTGTTGTTGTTGCTGTTGTTATCATTATTGTTATGATTGTTATTACTGATGTTGTTGCCTTTTTTTTACTATTGTTATTGTTATTATTATTATTATTATTATTATTATTATTATTGTTATTATTATTGTTATTATTGTTATTATTGTTATTATTGTTATTATTATTATTATTATTATTATTATTATTATTACTATTACTATTACTATTACTTTTACTATTATTATTATTATTATTATTATTATTATTATTGTTATTATTATTATTATTATTACTATTACTATTACTATTACTATTACTTTTACTATTATTATTATTATTATTATTATTATTATTATTGTTATTATTATTATTATTATTACTATTATTGTTGTTGTAGTTATTATTATTATTTGTTTATTTTTTTTATTATCATCATCATCACTATTATCATTATACTCATTATTATTATTATGATGATGATGATGATGATGATGATGATGATGATGATGATGATGATGATGATGATGATGATGATGATGATGATGATGATGATGATGATGCATGCATTACTATAGTCTTGGCCATCCTTTTTGTTGCTAGATGACTAGAGTTAGAGTTTGTTAGGGTTAGGAGTGCCACAAGTCTTCCTGAGTTTGGGCATTTGATAGCATCAACTGCAAAAATCCTGCAGTTTCCATCTCAAGCCACAGATCCCTTGTAATTTTTACTAATATTTATTTATACTTTATTATTGAATAATAAATTTCATTGAAACTAATAATATTATTGAATATTATAGAAGTAAGATAAAAAGAATGGATTAATTAATTTGATGAATAGATGTCAATGAAAAGATGATTAAATACTAAGAGTGAGATATATATACCTGCCTGAAACCCCCTTCCCCAGGTTGTAGTTTTGGAGAATGTTGTGGTCAAGGTGTTGGAATATGTTGGATGGATTAGTCATGTTGATGAATGTTGGATGCTCTGTTTTGTGGCATTTGGATGAATATTTAATTTGTAAAGGCATGCACTGTTTGTCAGAAGAAATTAAAGATGTTATAATGAGGGGAAGAGAAGGTATTCTAATGATTGGTTTTTGTGTCAGTGAAAGAGGGAGACACTCACCCAAGACTTATTTTGCCTCCACAGCTGCCATGAGAATTGCTCCTGTTGCACTCTTCTGTTATGATGCCCCTGACAAAGAGGTAGTTCACATTGCTAAAGATTCCTCTCTTCTGACCCATGCCAACAGGCTCGGGTACAATGGAGCGGTGTTGCAGGTGATTTTACAGTGTGGCTTTTTTTTTTTGTAATGCTTAAGGCTTGTTATCCATGGAAATTTGGATTACAGTGACACTTTGTCTCTTATTGATTCTTGAAATTTGCTTATAAGTAATATATTTGAATTTGTCCCACAGCAGTAAGTGATGTATATAGCCAGCAATAATGGTGAAAAAAGACAAGAGTTAACATTTCTGGAACTGGGATTATAGCTAGATAGTTGTGATTGCATTTAAACTGATAAAGTGCAATTAAATTTCCTGGCTTAGATTTGTAAACAGTTAAACAAGGTCAGAAATCTCAATTTTCAAAAAAAAAAAAAAAAATTAGGGCCATAGCCTAATTCTTCTATGTCAAAGCACCAAAACCTCTAATGTATATCTTAATATTCCATTGTCAACAGTGTCTGGCTGTCCACCAAGCTCTCCACACTCCCATCAACAAACTAGACTCGGTGAATTTCATAGAATCTCTCATCACCAAAATGAAGACTGTGGAAACACCAGAGGAAGATGAGTGAGTGTTAGAGTGAATTTTCTTCAGTTTTCTTTCATTATCCAGTCAATATTTTCCTCTCCCTTTCACTTTCTTTGTTAGACCAGTTTCAATCAAGTGCATAAGCTATCAGTAGTAATGACAGTGATTTAGTTAGGTTTAAGGATTACCATAAAATGAGCCAGTTAAACACACCAGCATCACAGAGAAACAACCTGGAATCAGTTGAATGTATCCAGACTTGACTAGTGGCCTTAAAACATTCAATCTTAGCTGGTTTATTTGAAATGCATCCTTCCTTGAGTCAGTCATGTAGGGGCCTCCTGGTGCCTCTTTTGACTTGTAAATGAGCATAGTATGGAATAAGAAGGGCATGTGAACCTCTGCAAACACCCCCATCCATCCATATCTTTTGTATCCCTTTGTCTCCCTGATTCATTTGTACAGGAACATCCTGCTTTTTTGTCTACTTTTTTATGTGAACAAAATTAGATTGTTAATGTAATGTATGGCATTCTCTCTCTCTCTCTCTCTCTCTCTCTCTCTCTCTCTCTCTCTCTCTCTCTCTCTCTCTCTCTCTCTCTCTCTCTCTCTTTCTCTCTTTCTCTCTTTCTCTCTTTCTCTCTTTCTCTCTCTTTCTCTCCTTCTCTCCCTCTCTCTCTCTATCTCTCCCTCTCTCCCTCTCTCCCTCTCTCCCTCTCTCTCTCTCTCTCTCTCTCTCTCTCTCTCTCTCTCTCTCTCTCTCTCTCTCTCTCTCTCTCTCTCTCTCTCTCTCTCTCTCTCTCTCTCTCTCTCTCTCTCTCTCTCTCTCTGTCTCTCTCTCTCTCTCTCTCTCTCTGTCTCTCCTCTCTCTCTCTCTCTGTCTCTCCTCTCTCTCTCTCTCTGTCTCTCCTCTCTCTCTCTCTCTCTCTCCCTCTCTCTCTCTGTCTCTCCCTCTCTCTCTCTGTCTCTCCCTCTCTCTCTCTCTGTCTCTCCCCCCCTCCCTCTCCCTCTTTCTCTTTGCCTGTCTCTCTATCTCTCTGTGTCTCTTTGTTTCTTTTGCTGTATCTTTGTCTCTCTCTCTCTCTCTCTGTTTTGAATAAGTTTATTTGTCTCTCTCAGTTTCTATGTTCCTCCTGCTGTTTCGAGATTCACAAGTATTAAAGATCAAAATTATTGTTTATGAAAGATGAATATTGTGATTTAAGGATGAATAGTTAACATTATCATGCAGAATCCTTTTTCAACCTTTACAGTATACTAAATGAGGGTGAGAATCCTTTCATTTATGTCAAGAAGTTGGAGAAACTTTTGGAGTTGATGGAGCAAGGCAACTCAGTGACACAGAGCCAAGTTGAGGACACACTTGGGGTCTACATCTCTGCCCACATGTCGGTACCAACTGCTATTTACTCCTTCATCAGAGCCACAAATCCTGTTACCAATATTGAGGTGAGAACTTAGATATTGTGGAGCATGAAGAGTTGGCGCACTATGTTATTTAAAAATTCTGGTCTAAAATAATTCTTAAGAGTAATCTGTTTTTTTTGTGTTGAAAATATATTTGATAATTAATATAAAGTTATGAAAACATGAAGCAGTTATTAACAGTATTCAGGTATCCAACATCAGAACAATAGGTTTGTGCAATACCTACCACTATTGTCAAATTCCAATGTCTTTGAATTTGCCATCTTTATTCTTCCTGTGTTTCAGTCTGATAATGCTTTCCTGAGGACCATCCATTATGCCATCAGTCTTGGTGGAGACACAGACACCATAGCATCCATGGCTGGAAGTATTGCAGGTGAGACTTGGTTATATTTTTTAGTGATGAATTTATGGGAAAAGTAGTAAATATAATAAATAAAACAAATGTGACAGGGAATATCCTTTTCTGATATTATAATGTATAATCTGTGTAAATTTCCCTCCAGGTGCATATTATGGCTTTTCGGAAATCCCTGAGAGCTTCCATAGGCACTGTGAAGCTCTTCCAGATGCCATCGAACAGGCAGATCAGCTCTTCAAGATGAGGAAGGCCAAATCGACAGAGACGTGAATGTTTGTTAGTTGAAGAATTTACATTTAGTATTACCCACTTCACAGTTTTAGAGTCACATTCAAACTGCAAGGTCATTTTACTGCCAAGGCCTATAATAGACAGTGGGAAGATGATTAGCAATTAGGTCATCTCCCATGTAGACCTAAAAATGGGGCTATCAGTTAGGTAGAGTGTGGGAATAAATGGTACTTCCTATCCTAGGATGTGTATGGTTTTACAGACTATGAATAAGCTGTAACAAATTTATGTCTATTTATTCTCTTTTTTGAGAAAGGAAGTTTATGAAAGATATGCTTTCAAGATGTTTATTGTATATATTAGTGATAACTTTAGTGCAGATGTTGTCTCCTATTCTTGTTATGTCAAACAGTTCAGCATATCATGTATTTTAATGTATACTATTATTATGGCTAAGAGATTGTAATTTCCGTGAAATTAATGTGTGGATTTTATAATTAGTATGCCTTAATTTTGAGATTTACATAAATTAAGATTCATTGGTTCCCTTGTGGCAATTAATTTTATAAAATCCATTTAATCTGTTTCAGAATTATTTACATATTTAGTTTATTCAAATTTATGTTGTTTAATTTTTTTTCTAAGAACCAGTTTTTTAAAATGTTCAAGGTATTGGTTTAGATGCAGTGTACATTTCCATGAGCCGAGTTCATTGAATATAGAGAAGGCATGAATGAATGACTAGCTCCAAGCACTTCAATGCTATGTCTTTTTTTAGAATTCCAAGTGGTTTTGATAATGTTGCATAGAAATGTACTTTACATTATTTGCATTGTAAAGTTCTTTTCATTCATGCCTTTTTTACATTGTATTTCAGTAATGTCTTTGGTATGAGTACAGAGTGGTGGAGTTCGAAGAGCATATTACTCACCGCACAATTGTCTTAGCAATCTTTTAGCCTTTTATTCTCTCCAATACATTACTGTAGATTCTCCACATAATACACAAATGATTTTATAATTGTCACATATCAGGAGTATATAGATGTAAAGACAGCCAATTGTACAGATTTAGAATAATATGAAAATCCCACTAATATGTAAAAGCATTTCCTGGTATGTATACTAATTACATTCCTAGACCTTTTATGTAATGAGCTTTAATTGACTTCTATGCACCTGTTTATGAAGAAAGGGTTGTTTTTATGGAAATTCTCTCTTGGGTACTTTGAGGCCTATAGTACCTAATTCTACACTAGATAATAAAAATAGTAATTAGAGTTCAGTGTAAGGATACCAGGAAAAATACAAAGTGTTCTGGTGGGGTACAATGTTTTAGGGTTGAAATCATAAAATCTTTAAAATGCAATTTAAATTTTTCATTTTTGCTATGTTTAAATTAAGTCCAGCTTTTTGTCTAGTCTCACTTTTATATACAATTAATTTGAACATTAGAACAAATGAAGTATTTTTATATTAGGCTGAAATACATGGTAGGATATATTCAGCTAAATTATTTGGTACAAAACTTCAAAGCACCCTGCACTTTGAATTTTTTTTCCTATTTGTAATGGAAAGACAATGTGAAGCTATGTATATAGTTACCCAGTCATATTAAAAAGAAAAAAAAAAATTTTTCGTTTAATACTATTACCTTTATTTGATCTTATGCTTAATTCTTACACTAGGTGAATATATCAATTAACCCATTGCCGTCGGGGATGGCATGCCATGCCCACCGTGAGTCGACTTGTTCGATTGTTTTTACACATAGATGGCTACACTTGTACTAAGTATCCAATGAGCCAATTACAAGTACTGCCTGTCTCGCCCGTTCACCCTTTTCAACGATTTACGAAAATATTTAACGTTATCCTAATTTGCTGTTAAAAATAACACCATCTATATTTATAACACTAGTAAAATTACGTTTTTTTCCGCCAATTCAAGGAAAGGTGAAATCAGGAATAGCAGAGCCATCTATGGACAGAAATATTTCACAAAAATATAAAAAATGAGTACTGCATTTCCCCCATTTTTTGTTCATTTTCCCCTGCGGCAATGGGTTAACCTGTCACAAGGAAAATGTGTTCACTAGAGTAATACTTTTTTAAATGTCTCTGCAAGGAGTCAATTAATATACCTCACATGATTTACCTTTCCTCGAATTTGCAGGAAAAATACTTTTCTTTAGCAATGATATCAATATTGATGCTGTTAGTTTTATTATAGATATTATAATTATTGTTATTGACATTACTAACAGCAATATAATTACCAGTAAATATTTTTGAAAATCAAGGAACAAGGCAAACAAGTGAAACTCATGATTGGCTCATTGGTGACTTGATACTTGTGGAGCCAACTATATGTTAAAACATTTAAAAAATTAAGCTCACAGTGGGCATGGCATTTGCTTTATGCCATCCCCATGGCATCAGGTTATCAGAGTTGGTCAGTACCTGTAGTATTTTAAGGCGTGTATGATTGTCCCCCACATATAAATTTATATGCTGAAAAGTACTGACTACTGCAACAATTAATGGAAACAGTGGTGCCTCTTACAGTACTTGACAGAAAAATAGTATTGATAGAAAGTTCTGTTAGATTTTATTGTGGATACTTTTTTATTTTGCTAGAGGTAGAACAGCTGGTAGCTTTGGAGCCATTTTCAGAATTTTCAGTTATAAATACAAAATGTCATAAGGTGTACATCACATAGACATTTATTTCTTCTACACTAATGCCTACTTTCCTATGGTTACATTAGCTTTTAAAGTATAACTTATATCTCTGAATCAATCATTATGATGAAAAGTATTATTGGACATAGTTCTTATCACTTTACACCTATACCAGTCTTAATTGATATTAACCCTGTCACCCTGTATGGCAAGAATACACGCCATACCCATTGTATTACAAGTTTATTTATTGTAAGTAGACATAGATGGCTCTACAAGTCCTTGGTCACCAAAGAGTTGGTTATTAGTCCTACATATCTCATTTCATTGTCTTAAATGTTTTAATAATAACTTAATAATCATAACATCAATAACAATAATAACAGTATTGATGTCAACTGTATTATAAAGAAAAACACATTTTCCTGGCAGTTCAAGGAATGGGGAAATCAGGATTGGTCACTAGGGCTACTGATAGACTCCTTGCTGGCTGAGCACATGTGGAGCCATCTGTATGTATGAAATACATCCACAAAAAACTACAGGGGACAGAACATAAATCCAGGGTGAATGTGTTAATGGTAACTTTTAGGGATATTAATGAAAGAAAAGTATTCAATATCAGTATGCCCAAAGTCTCTTCCTCGTGTCTGGTAGTGCCTACTATTCTTGACACTTCGTATTTGCAATATTTTTCTTACTTTCCTCTTTTTCCTAAATTTGTGACAATAGGTATTTCTCCATCAGCAATGTTCTTTAGTTAGAGCTGTGTAAGTTTATGAATTTGTTATCTGAATAATGCAGAATATCTCAAATCTGCTGATAATACTATTGATATTCAACTCTTAGGATGAGGTAAATGAAACAAACACATTTCAAGCAAAGTCATTATTGGTTATCCATATGTTTCTACAGACTATAGCAACCCAAGCAGTTACTGAAGCATCATCAGTCTCTCACAAGTACAAGTACAAAATAGGATTGGCTCGTACCCTTACTAAAACAGAAAGTCCTTGGAGTGCAGTGGGATGCTGTAAGTCCAATATCATGTCCACATCTGTTAAGGAATCTCTCTCTCTCTCTCTCTCTCTCTCTCTCTCTCTCTCTCTCTCTCTCTCTCTCTCTCTCTCTCTCTCTCTCTCTCTCTCTCTCTCTCTCTCTCTCTCTCAATTGAATTCATTCTCTCTCTTTTTTTCCGTTTCTATTTATTATTATTTTTCATTATTTTACTTTATACAGATTTTTTTTGATATAGGACTGGACTGTCTGTGTTTAGTGGAAAAGCAAAGAAAAAAAAATTGGTCCAAACCCTCATCACTCATACAATTTCCCAAACAACCACTGCACAAAAATAATGATGATGATAATCATAATTATAATAATAATAAAAACATACAGAAAAGGGTATCATATTACACCTGAAATATTATATGTATGGATGGGGAATTCCTACCCCAATAATATGCTAAAACTGACAAATCACATACGATCTGTCATACATTTTTTTTTTATTGACTGGGATGAGTAACATTTTAATGAAGCACATGTAATTGGACGATGGAAAAAAGTAAGTGAAAATCAACAATGTATTTAAATCACCTGAGTTATGAGTTCTTTACTTTTAAAAAACTTCTTGATAACTGGAATATAGTTATATTTCAAAAGTTTTCAATATCAGCTGGAGAGATGAATGAATGCATGTATGAATGTATGTATGTATCTTTCCATATATCTTGGCAGAAAGATTGGACAGCATCTGCAAAGCTTCCATTTTTTCCAGTAACTTTAATCTGTAATTAATCCAGTTTTTCCATAAGTGAAATAAGGGTAAATGATATAGCAGCCAGACTAACTAATAAGGTAACACACACTAACTGAATCATTATGTATCTAAATAAGATGAACAAAAAAGAAAAAAAAATAGAACATAGGTATATATGCATTATGATATGAAGAAAAATATATATATTACTGAATATTGTAAATACTGATAACAAAATACAGTAAGGGGTTTTTAACACACTAACTGAATCATTATGTATCTAAATAAGATGAACAAAAAAGAAAAAAAAATAGAACATAGGTATATATGCATTATGATATGAAGAAAAATATATATATTACTGAATATTGTAAATACTGATAACAAAATACAGCAAACTGAATAACAGATGTATAGCAAAAGGTGAGAAGTGGGTTTTCTTAACCAATTCTATATTCTTAAATGGTTAAATATTTTTTTATGTACAACCTCAGGATCAATCTTTCAGTTTAAGGTTAAATTTGGACCATTTACAGTGGAGTCAAGCAAGTCTTCAGAAAATCACAATGAATTATAAAAATAATAATAATAAAAAGGTAAAAGGCAAATCAAAATTCCAAGAGCTGTTTATAACAGGGGGTCAAAAGTGTGGCTCGAAGGGGCCAGTTTTATTCTTCTTCCTTTTTTTAACACTCACAATCAACATTTTTCAGGTACCGTTATAATATAAAGATATATCAAAAATTTTCTTCTCTGTACAATTCTCGTGACTTTTTTTTTTTTTCAAGAAACATTTCTATTAGTTTACTTTTTAAACAATGAGAGAAGAAGAAAAAAAACAGTCTGATTTTTAGTTTCAACCGAGGTGACCTGGGAGTCACCAGGAATTTTCCACTGATCAAACCTGTGACTGTGACACCATCTACCATCACCCTTGCTTTGCCCATGTTAATAATTTACTACTATTAACAGTGATCCTTATGTTAAAATATTCAATAAAGGAGGGAAAGCAAGCTACCAACATGCAAATGTCATTATGGATGTTGTTCATACCTGAGGACTTTCAACTTTTGGCACGTTGCCCTAACATTAAACAAATCTCATAACACAACCAGAATTCATAAAAGATTAGTAACATTAGGTTTATCACATCATTAGAATATTTCTTAATCTTCTAGAATGACCTCAGAATGAACAATGTCCACAAGGCTTAGTTAAAAAACAGACAAACCACAGAAAAACAAAGGTAGTCTTCAAATGTTGTGCTAATGACACATGCAAGGATGCAATTGTCACATCCCCTTGTGGATCAAACACAGCTGGTTTCTATGCCGATAATCCAAGCAAGTAAAGCTTTTTTGTGTATACAATAGCAAAAATTTTCAACTTCAGAGATATGTTACTGCACTCTTAAGAGACAAAATAAAGTAGTAATAATGAAATGATTGAAATAACAAGAGAAATAACAAATACTGTAGGGTGCTTGCTCAAAACTCATACTGAAACTACGTCATTTCCAGCATGTGCTGAAAATCAGCAACAAAGAAAATGATTATTAAAATACAAGCTATATAATAGCATACAACCAAGAAAATAATTGTTAGTATTATTAGAATGCAGGAATTTTATGCTGATGCCCAAAGATTTAATGAGTTAATTCATAATGTATTTCTTTGTGGAAGAAACTGAAAAATGGAAATA